CCTCCTCCTTTACTAGGTGGGGATTCAGGACGCCAGCAGTCCCATGTAGGGAATGGCAGCTTACGTGGCACCGTTGAGTCATGTCCCCATTTACCTTGTGGAATATCTTGCTGCCCGCCCTTATCTTCCTTTCAGGGCTTGGCAGCAAACCCTTTTTGGACAATAGCAGCCCCCTTTGGATGTAGTGCTGTCCTTTTAGGTTTGAGACACCCCCTTTCCTTTCTCAGCAGCTTGGTGCTCCCACCATGTGTGACAGTAACTCACAGACACCAGAACTCAGAAAAGCTCATGGTGTTTCAGGGTGAAATGCAAAATCTGGTTCATCAGTTTGCAGGAAACGAATCCCCATGAACCCCACCTCACTGCAGTCTTTGTTAGCCAGACAGACCCCCTCTGGGGCTGAGGCTAGGAGTTTAAAAGTGGCCTTCCTGTGTTTCCAGTTGCTATCTGTACCAGTGTACATCCACTGGTCTAGCCAGACTTGTAAGGTAGAACTGGGTTCACGATGGTGGTGGGGGAGTAAGTACTGAGGAATCCAGGGTGGATGATCCCCTCAGGTAGTGGAAAAGGGGAACTGATTACAGGGATCTACATATAATCTCCTCCCTGGGGGATGGACAACAGAAAAGTGGGTGAAGGGAGACATCAGTGTAAGGCACCACAAAGTAATTTATGAATTACCAAGGGTTCACGGAGGAGGAAAAATGAGCTGATGCCGGGGGCCCAAGTGGAGAGCAATGTCTTGAGAATGATGAAGGCAAACGGGCAAATGTGCTGTGGGGGGAGGTCAGATGCCCGCCCCCCTCCCCCATCAGTTGCCAGCGAGCCCCGCTCCTGCTGCAGGGGACAGTGGACAGGCTCCTGTAGTTTACATCCTACTGATAATTGTTCCTATGGAGACCCAGAGAATAGGTCAAAGTTAAGCTGCCATCCTAAATCTAGGATCCGCCGTGTCACATGCATACCCCCAATCCCTCTTCCTAATGCGTGTATATCCCTAGACCACCCCCTCCCTCGTTGCTATGTAACCTGTAGTGCAACCCCTTCCTGTAACGTATGCCTTAACCTGTAATTAGTGGGCTTGCACCCCCCAAAGGTATATAGGCCTGGGCTAACAACAGCTCTCTGTGGTCTCTCCCCTCTGCCCCCGGGGAACACCAAGCTGGGCTGAGCAATGCTACCATGTGTCTGACTGCATCATTGTAATCTCTTCTCATGCTGACTTTTATATATCTCAACGGTACAATTGTGCATTACTGAACCCGTGTGTAGTAGTAGTGGGGAGGCGGCTCCCCTCTACTTAATACTACAGTGCCTTACACAATTGATGTATATATGGTGATGAGCCAATACAAATTTTTTTTTTTAAAGCCTTTTTGCTAGGTAACTGATTTATCACTAGGCTGGGCAGAGACCAGCCACTTCTTAAGAGATTAATTGTGATATGCTTATCACAAGACCACAAAAAGCCACACACTCAAGGTAGAGAAAAGAAAGGCTTTATTTAGACAAACAGATGCTGTTCATTTCTGTGTTTCTGGACATCAACCAAGAGTTGGTTCCTGAAAAGAAAACAGCATTTAAAAGCCTGCTTCAAGGTATTTTTTTGTGACCAAGCATCAAACCCATGAAATCTGTCCCTTTAAAACCTACTGGTTAAAGGTAGCTGTCCTTCCTCTCTTCTCCACGAACTCCGCCTCCTCCCCTGAAACAGTTTGTTTTCAGTCAGATGTTCTCCCCTCCTCCCTGGCCCGTGTATGGATCCCATGACCCCTCAGACAGTTCCTTCTGGAACAAGTTCTCCTCTCCTCCCCCAGCCAGCCCCAGTGGGTTCACCTTTTCAGGTTCTGGGGCTAGGACAGGGGGTAAGACATGTGATTGCTTCCTCACTGGGGATATCCTACTACTTAGGCTCAGCAAATAGTAAAGTCATAACACAAACCTCTGGTCTCAAGACTGGGGCCGTGGAAACTGGAAGTTCCCAAAAGCTTCCTTCCTGTAGAAGAAAAATGTGCATGAAGTCTGTTTGTCGAAATGCCCAGAACCTGTGCTCCCTCCTCTCCATCTAGTGCCACTGCTCATGGCTCAGAAATACCTTTCAGTCA